AATTTATCTATTGTAAAACTTGTATACCTGTTTAGAAATATCTGTTTTGGATTATCGGTGGAGGATAGCCATGATTGTTATAGAAATTGCATGAGGATTAGGCGAATTGAAACTAATCTCTCAGCCGTTATCATTGAATATGATTATGATTTGTATATATTGTATATGCATGATATTTGGTAGGAGAAAAGGGGATGTACTTCATCTTTGGGAGAAGAAAGGGGATGAACTCCATTAAACTAAGTTGGCCTGTGTGTCCATGGTGAAAGTCCTGAAAATCGCGTGTATATATGGGTGCTGATTCTCGGGGACGAAATTTCTGTAAAATGGCAAGTGAATGTATTTGTATGATAATTATATTGGTTGGAGACCTATGAGGTGTATCCTCTATTTGGTTGATTGAATGAAGTGGGTACAACTAGTGAACTGAGATAAAATGGATCAAGATGTAAGTTTGGCATAACATGATTATGGAAAAAAGATGTGAAAGATTTGTCATTGGGCATTGAACACGTGAATCATATTTATATCTTTGTTAATATTCATATATAGTGTTAGATTGTTTCTACTAGACTCTGTCTCACCCTACTTGGAAAAATCATTTTCAGGTGCTGGTGATATGTCTCCTCCAAGGACCTAGCTTGGGAGGACCTGGGAGCTGAAGGTTTTGTTTTGTTATTTTGTATTTAATATTTGTACAAGCCTAGGGCTTTATATGTATGGAGTTTAAGACTCTCTCTTTTGTTGTAACCAAGTGTAGTCTTGGAAAGTTGTAAGTCTGTAGGGCACTTATTTTGTTGATCATTAAGTTGGTATCACACGCTATAGATTCAGGGTAGAGCTTATGAATGTATATCGCATGTGTCACCTTTTTGTAACTTAACTTTGATAAATGAAAGTCTATTATTTTCTTTATGTCATCTGGTATTAGTTATTTATGGATGAATTATCGTAATTATTTTGGGGGGCGTTACAAGGGAGTAGCCGGCCATGTGCTTTGGATTTGGGGAGATTATGTGTACAATTTGATGTAAAATTTGTAGATTTTGTATATAAACAAAGATTAAATTAAGGTACAAACATATATATATATATATAAAGGTACTAACTTGGGGTCAATTTGTAATTCAAGTAAAATGTGAGGGCTAAGGTCTTAATTTATGAATTGGAACATATATTTAAGTGTAGTATTTAATTAAATTGGTATTTGGGAATTCAATTCGGTTAAAGTTTCTTCATTTGAAATTAAACGGCGAATCGTAACGAGAACTAGAAACCTAGGGTTTTGAGTAGTAAATCCATAATTAGAGAGTTAATTAATAATTATTAGGGCTTTGGAAATAATTCCTGAGTTCCAGATTTGATTAGGGTTTGCGAGTTTTCAGTTGTCGTGTGTTTTCGACTCTATAATTAAAATTGAAAACAAATAAAGAAGGGAATGTCTTTATTGAAATAATTCAAAAGTGAGTGTCTAAATAAAATTACAAAGGTCAGGGGTCTCATTAATATTTTAGTGTAGAAACAATTACTAAGCTATTGGGGTTGATTAGGGTTTGTACAGGTTCATTCGCGATGCTTCTCCGGTTCTAGGGTTGAATTTCCGAATGAATAAGGAACTAAGGGCTTTATTATAATAACTCAAAACTCAGAGAGTTAAGAGGATTTATAAAAGTTAGGGGCCTCACAAACCCTTCAACTATTGTCCTATATCAATTTACCCCTCTCAACTAGAACCTGTAACAACTAACCCTCGTCATATATATATATATATATATATATTTTCGATTTGGACCTTCATGACTAAAATACATTTTCATCAATAGGATAAATTACACTTTACCCCAGAACTATCACCCAATATCACTTTACCTCCTTGACCAATATTTTACTTTCAATTTGGGTCACTTAATTTTTTTATTTTATCACTAATTAAATTTTAGTTTCTTAAAAAAATAAAAATAAATTTTGAAAATCAAACCAAACCGAACGAAAATATTTAATCTACAAATCTACAAAAAAGGTCACTAGACAAAAAATAAAAAAATATACCATTTTTTTCACCTTTCGTGACATTTTTTAAAAATTTAATCACAAATATTTAAATTTGATCTACATGTAAAAATTTAAATTTTTTGACTAAATAAAGAAACAAAACACATATGAAAAATTATAAAATAAAAAAATAAAAAATTGTAGTTTGAATTAAAAATTAAATATTTTTGTTAGTTGAGGGATAGAGTGTTATTGAGTAATAGTTCAAAGAGGTAAATTGTAATTTATGCTTATTGTTAAGAAGGTATTTTCATTACTAAGGTCCAATTTTTATTTTTTATTTTATTTTTAAAAAAAGAAGAAGGAGAAGAAGAAGAAGAAGAAGAAGAAGAAGATAATAAAGGTTAAATAAAAAATTGTAGTTTGAATTAAAAATTAAATATTTTTGTTAGTTGAGGGATAGAGTGTTATTGAGTAATAGTTCAAAGAGGTAAATTGTAATTTATGCTTATTGTTAAGAAGGTATTTTCATTACTAAGGTCCAATTTTTATTTTTTATTTTTTTTTAAAAAAAGAAGAAGGAGAAGAAGAAGAAGAAGAAGAAGAAGATAATAAGGGTTAAGGTGTCGTTTGGTAAAGTTTACAGTTTACATTTTTTTTTCTTTTTTTTTTTAACAAAAGACATTAAACATGTTTATGTTTATTTTCAATAAAAATGAAAACAAAAAACATGTTTGGTACATAAAATATTTTAAAATTTTATTTTGAAAACAAGTAAAAATGGAGGTTACAGGAGGTGATTGTCTACAGTTGGAAATGGTGATCTGAGGTGGTTGTTGGCAATGGGAGGTAATGGCCGAAAGTGGTTATCAATGGTAAGAGGCAGTTGACAATGGTTAGACGTGGTTATTGGTTACAAGAAGTGTTGGTCAAAAGTGATTTGTCAATGGTTAAAAATGATGGCCAGTTAACCGCCTAAAATGGTATTTGAAAGTGGTTTTTAGTAAAAAGTTGTGACCAAAGATGGTTACCGCCAGTAAGAAGAGGTTGGTAGCAATAGAAAATGATTAGTGGTTGAAAGATGTGGTGGTCGAAGGTCATTGACGAATAGGTCATTGTTAGTGATGGTAGCTAATAGCGATGAGAAGTAATGACCATGAGGTGGGTTTGGAGTTGATTTATCTACCTCTGCCCCCACCTCATATCATATCAAGGACAAGAATTGGTTAATTTTGTAGTTTTAAAAATTAAAGGTAATATATAGTCTATTATAGATAATAATTTATAATTGATGAGAGTTAAAAGATAGTCAATGGAGATTTTTTTAAAACCCACCATCAAACAAATCTAAACCATTACATTTTGATAAAACCACTAAAATCGTGTTTATATCAACGAATCAGTCAGACCAAAAATGATTCAGCCTAATTGGTTACGTCAAAAGACCGACCAACTTACACAAAAGTTAATTAATTAAAAATTTTAAACTTGATTTTAAAATTTAAATTATATTGAATTGAAACATGCGCAACATTATAATATTAAATGAGAGTATAAGATTCATTTTATATAAATGAAACAACTCATTTTTTTCGTTTTTTTCTCGATGTGGGATTATCAAATAAATCGTACACTAATTAGAGTTTTATTTTTATATGGTTAAATGAAATCTAACCAATGGAGATTTTTTATTTGTTTAAAATTAAAATAATTAAGAAGATTAATATGAGATTTTGGAGCTCTCACAAGCCTGCTCATTAGAAATTCCCTTTTCCTTATATAGTGAGTGTTTGAGAAGTTGCTATTTTAGCAAATTATTTTAGTTTTTGGCTATTTTAGGAGGCTAAAATTTTTGTGTTTGAGAAGATAGTTAGATTTTTTTATAGTTGGATGTGATGTTTGTGAGATAAAAAGTAAAATGATTATAGATTTAATGTGACATTTTGTCTTATTGGTTATTTTAGTCTATTTTGTTTTTTAGTATTATTTTAGCCAAAAAAGTTCGTCCCAAACACCCCTATAATCAGATAGTGAAATAAACTTTGCTTTTTCTTCTTCTCAAAATGTGGGATTATAAAATAAATTATAAACTAATTAGAGTTTTATTTTTATATGGTTGAATAAAAGTTAGCGAATGGAAAATTTTTAATTATTTAAAATCAATAAAATCAATATAAGAAATTGCGATTAAATCGACGAATCAATCAAACCCAAAATGGTTCAGCCAAATCGGTTTGTCAAATGACCAACCAATTTTATACAAGAATTAATTAATTACAAATTTTAAATGTTATTTTAATTTTTAAATTTAAACTGTCTTGAATTGAAGTATACACAATACTACGCTATTAAGATTTACTTTATATAAGTAAAACAACTTTTTTTTTTTTTCGATGTGAGATTATAAAATAAAGCAATCTCAATCTTTCAATCTTTAATCAGATCAATCTTTAGTTTATTTCGAATCAAATAAATCGAATAAATATATTTTGATAAAACCGTTAAAATCATGGTTAAACTAACGAATCAATTAAATCAAAAATGATTTCGCCTAATCAATTAGGTCAAAATTAATTAATTAAAAGTTATAAAATTTAAACTATATTGAATTAAAACATGCACAACACACCAATATTAAATGGGATGAGAGTATAAGATTCACTCTATATGAGTAAAACAACTCATTTTTTTTTTCTTTATTTTCTTTATATGAGATTATCAAATAAAAACTAATCAATAGAGATTTTTTTAATTATTTAAAATTAAAAAAATTAGTATGAGATATTGAAGCTCCTAACTTTATTTTCCTTATATAATATATAGATATATATGACACAATAGTTTAAGAGGGTGAGTTGTAATTTTCCCTTTAACTACAGACGCCACGTGGAAGGGAGGGGATTGTTGTATCATGTGCCTGACCACACCTTAGGACTTCCTGAATAAACAAAACTAAAATTAAAAATAAAAATGAGAGACGAAGACCCAGATATATATATTCATTCATTCATTCATTGGTGGTGTTTGCTCTCTCTCTCTATCTGTCTCTCTCTCTCTCTACAAATTCGTGTCGGTGTGTGTTGAACAGAGGGGGGCCACGACAGAGCATTCCCTTCATTTTGGAATCGATCTCTGTTCAATCGTCTCTAAGGACTCCGCCGTCGGAATCGCAGTCACGCCCTCTTGATCGAGGTACTTCTCTCATATTAATTCGCCAATTTTCGGCTTAGATCACTCAATTTGTTTATCTTTATATATATATATATATATATTTGCATTTTTAGGGTTTTCATTTTATACTGAGCTTTTTGTATACGAGATTCTTTGAAGTCCATGCTTTAATTCGAGAGTAGCTGATTTTAAACCAGTTCATGTTCTAGTTTTTATGCTTGTAGAAATGTTGGTTTGTCTTGTTTAGGGTTCAGATTTCAATTTTTGTGTTGGGATTTTTGTGGTTTGGATTTAGTGCGGAGAACTGATGCTAAAAGATAAATGTATGTTTAATAAAGGGGAAATTAAAATTTGGGGCTTTCACCTCTCTAAAAATTAGGGATTTCTTTTTTAAAATTTTGGGGGTAAAATGAAATTTGTCCTTGTTTTATTGTTGTGTGATTTTGTTAACTTAAAATTTGTCACCCTTTCGGATCGATGACCTGAAGTCATGAACAGAAACCTAACGTGACAGGTGACAATTATTATTTAATAGAAAGATTCATTTATTAATTAAATAATTAAACTGACGTAGTCTACTTTAGAAAACCATTCATTTCCAATCAGTGTTGGTCGAACTTGCCAAGGAATGGTCTAATGCCTCACACCCACCCTGTACATGCAACATACATACAGAACCCCCATTTGGTCAAGCAAAACAATAAAGTTATACATATTATATCTTGTCTTGTGGCTTACAAACCAAGCCCTTACAAATAAAATTCAAGGTATACCAAGCAAATAATTTGAGACTGCCCATAACGGCTCCAAATTCCATGGTAAGCAAACAGGGCGAAAACCTCATCCTAGATAAGTCGCTAGCCCTTCTACCTCTCATAACATAAGCAATGACATTTAAAGTAAATTACATAACATGAGTTTGCTTAACGAATTACAACAAAAGATAAAAATTTGAAGTACTAGAGCAACTCTTCTAAGTCCTTGATGCAACTCAATACAGTCTGCTCCTTTTTTGTGGAAAGGAAGGGGTGGGCTAACTAGCCCAGTAAAGTGATAAGTTTCTACAAACCTATATGCTAGTATGATGTAAGGTGGTATCGAGTATACAATTAATGTCTATCAATCTAACAAATAAAGGAATTAAGATGTAAACAAATACGGTAACCATGATGCAATGCTAACAACTAAAAATATTAACAATGCAATGCATATGAAATATGATGTTTAAATAAATTATAGCCAACACCCAACAATTTCCTCATTTATGAGTTCTGAGATTTTACCAATACACATTCACCACGCTGCACACCTTTCGTTTGCATGACAATTTAGTGCACTTTCTTATTGGAGAAGTTGTGTGAAATTTTAGGTTTTTCAGTTGCCAACCGGATGGACCCGTTATCCCATTGGTCAAGTTTTGAGACTTTCACCTGGAGTCTGTAACCTAAGTTGCTTAATTCCACAAATCGACTCATACAAAATTTCTACCATGCTGGGTAGTGCTCATTATGAAAATCAAACTCACTTATGTGTATTAAGGCCCCGTTTGGGGACTTTTTAGCCAAAAAGCCAAAAGGTTACCCTTTTAGCCAAAAAGTCAATAACTCATACCAAAAAGTCAAAGATTCTCTTTTCTCTCTACTTTTTGCACATCTTTTCGTAATTAGCCAAAAAGTCCTCCCAAACATATAAGTTTTTTTTACCTACTTTTTTAGCCAAATAGCCAAAAAATTACTAAATTAGCCTGTTTCCAAACGAGGCCTTATATGATTCAACAATGTTCATAAATAATGATATACAATAACCCATTATTATAAACAATATCTCAACACTTCCTCATAATGAGTGATGAATAATATCTCAACATTTTCTCGTAATGGTTGATAGACAATAAATTCAATGGAAATAATGTGTATTTCAACATTAATCTTTACATCTTACACCAAACCCTAATTTCTTCAAAATTTGGGGTTTCTCCACTGGAGTGTTCCAAACTTAAACTAAAATCATAATATACTCCAATATACATCTAATTACTAATTTAAAATAACTTCTATGATAAACATCCCTAATATTATGAAGACCTAATCCTAACAAGGTAAATTGCAATATTTGTAAATGAAGCTACCAACTAAATACATAATAACACATAGATGAGTGAAGAGTACCCCCTACTTGAAAATGAGATGAAAGGAAAAATCCTAAATGGTGAAACTTGCCGAAATAAAATTTGCAACGTTAGGATTGTTGTCCTTGACGAGCTCTACAACTTTGCTTCTCGGGTTGAAAGCAAAATCAAACCGGGGTTTGTTCCAATATTGAGTTGAAATAATTCGAGGTATAGAGAGAAGATAGAGAGAAATATAGAGAGATAAATGCAAAGTGAGAGAGATGTGTCAGTCGCGTAGAAGAAAAAGAGAAGGGAAAGAAAAAGAAAGATTGGGGGAGAGAGACGGGGATAGTAGACTGCCGCATGTGCAGATTTCCACAGTCCGAAACTCTCCTTGGTTCCACCTCCCTGCACGTTCAAAAATTCTCACCACATGTGCGGGCTTACTGGCAAAAGCCCCTAGTTGTCCGACACCAATCCACACGTGTGGAACACTAATCTGGGTGTTTTTGGGTTCAATTTTGATTTTAAGTCCAAATTTCACAATTTCTGGTGCAAGATTTGAATATAGAAACAGCCAAATTGGCGCATGAGTTTTGATACAATCCTTATGACCTCGGGAAACGAAAAGTATCAGATAACCTACTCCGTAAGTCATGCCAACGCATGTATCCACAAACGAATAATCCGAACCCGGAGATATATTCATTACAATAAGTTTCAAAATTTCGGGACTTTGCAAAATTTACGACGTAGTTTAATTGCTAAAAAAATTGACAAGAAAATAAAATGCAAATATTGACAAGAAAATAAAATGCAAACATTTTGTCAGTATGTTTTCTATTGCCTAAATGAATTAACCTGTGTTGATTTTTCAAAATGTAAATCTCACCTCAACTGAGCTGGATAATTTTATTAGGATCACTTTGGTAGTGCTTTTTGTTCATTTGTGTTCTGAAGTAATGGAACTTGTAGAGTTTTGAATCAATTCCTTGTACTCCCATCCCATTTGTTTTGTTTTTAGGAACCAAAACAAACATTATGGTGTAATTGAACCTTTAATTTGAAGAGTGTTGCTATTACCTTTATTTCATTTGAAATGATTGATATGATCATGTTCTTTTATGCATTTTCACATGAAAAGTCATTCTGATTGGAATATTCAGTGCTGATAGAATTTTGTGGAATCATTATGATTGTAGGGTTTTGGTAAAAGGGTTTGAGCTAGGACATGCTGATGCTGAAGAAATAAGGAAACTTCGAAGGTTGTGCTGCTCTTTTAGAGAAAATGTTGGAGGCACCAAAATTTACTGGAATTATTGGCCTAAATAACAACCATGATAATTTTGATCTGTCTCAAGGTTTTTACCATAAGCTTGGGGAGGGTTCTAACATTTCAATTGACAGTTTTGGTAGTTTGCAGATGAGCAACGGTGGAGGTTCTGTTGCAATGTCACTTGATAACAGTAGTGTCGGATCAAATGATTCCCACACTCGCATCCTAAACCACCAAGGATTGAAGCGTGTCAACAACAACTACTCTGCTGCCCAGAGTGCTAACCGAGGAAAAGTCTCACATGGTCTTAGTGATGATGCATTGGCTCAAGCTCTAATGGACCCTCGTGTTCCCACGCAGGGGCTTGATAGTTTTGATGAGTGGACAATTGATTTGAGGAAGCTTAATATGGGGCCAGCTTTTGCACAGGGGGCTTTTGGAAAACTTTACAAAGGTACTTACAACGGCGAGGATGTTGCTATCAAGCTTTTGGAAAGGCCAGAGAATGACCTAGAGAGGGCTCACTTGATGGAGCAACAGTTTCAGCAAGAAGTCATGATGCTGGCCACATTAAAGCATCCAAACATTGTTCGGTTTATTGGTGCATGTCGTAAACCCATGGTATGGTGTATAGTGACAGAATATGCAAAGGGGGGTTCAGTTAGGCAGTTTTTGACAAAGCGACAGAACCGATCCGTGCCTTTGAAAGTGGCCGTCAAGCAGGCTTTGGATGTTGCTAGGGGGATGGCGTATGTGCATGGGCTTGGTTTGATTCACCGCGATCTAAAGTCTGACAATCTTTTGATTTCCTCAGACAAATCCATAAAGATTGCGGATTTTGGGGTGGCTCGTATTGAGGTGCAGACTGAAGGAATGACACCAGAGACTGGAACGTATCGATGGATGGCTCCGTAAGCCTCTTGATCCTTAGCACCAAGATTATTTTTCTTCTGTATCTTATTATCATTGTTATCTTTTTACTAGAATGCTTGCTTGGCAAGATTATGCTGCATTGCTATTTGGATTTGTTTTCTTTTTATGTTGGACATCTTTGCATCTAACAGGTTGAGCAATATTTTATGGTATATGTATCTTAGCATATCATGCTGTTAAGATTGTTGATTCGATCTTGTTCATGCAAGATCCTACTGATGTTTGGGTGTACAAGTTGTGTGTTTATAGTCCATTAGGCGGTTTGTTGTATTCTGCATATGATAATTTCACCATTAAAACTTGATAGATTGTTGTTGTGATCCCATTATGTTTTTCATTTGAATTGAACATATTTTATTACAAATGGAAATGCATACATAATTTTGATTAATTTCAGAGTTCTTGCCTCTTCTTTCTTAGCTTACACATGCCATCCATTATACTTGCTGCTGCTAGGTTTTGATAAATTGATGTAGTTTTGTTCAAGTCCAAAGACAAAAATTAAATTGGATGATGTTATGTCAAAAAAAAGTTACGCAAAAAAGTTTCTTTCTGTATAAGTAGACAAAAAAGTTTCAAAAGACAATGTTATGTCAATATACTTTCAAGAGAATAAATGTTCTGTGAACATATTTGAACATTCCTGCTAGCTTCTTTCTGTATAATAAATAAGTTCCATTTGGTGCAACAAAATTAAATTGGATGAAGTGAACTGTGTTTTCATTGTCACCCATTGAGCAGGTTGTGGTGATGCATCATATAGAGTTGTTTGCATATGATATATCAGTTATTGGTACATTCTAGTAGCATGGCCATTTGATCATGTGTTCGTTGAGGATTGTGTGAAAATCCCAAATGTTTGAAGGTTTGGGTGCAGAATTCCAATGCCTGGGACTTAATTTAGTAGCTCAAATCATTTCGAGTTTTAATTTTACCTATAAAAAATTGTTTTGGGTTTAAATACTTTAATTTCATTTTTTTTTTTATATTTTATATAGGGAAGTTGATGCAGGACGATTAGGGACGAGGCTGCAAGGACTGTAAAACTGACTTTCTGTGGTTTTTATGGTTGCTTAAAGCTGAAAATCAATATGAATTTTAGGATTTCAATTAATGAATGGAATGAACTAGGTTTAGGATTAATAAACCGGGTGAAAGAGATCAAAACAGGGGCTGTTTAGGACCTGTGAACAACAGCTCGTGAACAGTATACTGAAACAGAAAAAAAGAAGAAAGAAGAGAAGAAGATAGGTCTAGGCATCGCACCTTCATAGGCATTACACCTAGGGTTAGGGTTGCATCACACAAACTCAAAAGAGGCTTCAAATCTCTGAAAATTCTATTAAATATCAACTCCATTAATTTATAAGCATTACATGACTTTATATAGGACTAGGAGACTTTCTAAATAAACTAGAACCAAAAAAGGAAACTACTAAAATATCTTTGACTTCTAAAACTAATTAAAGACCAGATAAGAAACAAAATAAAAACTAATTAAATAACTTGACTCATAAGATAACCCATGGGCGACCCCTACAGCCGATGTCAGCAAATATAAAATTACCGAAATACCCATGACCTAAAAATTCTAGAAACATAAAAATAGTCATGAAATAGGACTATAATAATACTAGAAACATGATTATATACGGTTCCTATCAATTCCTCTTTGAAACCATTCCAATTTCCAAATATCATCGCTTTTTTGAATTCACTTTTCCTTGAGCTTCTTATACTCTGCATCAAAAGTTCTTGGGGTTCTAAAAGTTGAGCATTTGAGTCTTTACTCCATCCATCTCTTGTTGGAAAAAGATGGAAGTTTTCAGCTTGCTTGCATTGATTTCTTTCTTTTCTTTTGTGTTATTTATCTAGTCTCTTGAGTGCAATATCCTAGATTCGTACTCTTTTGAAAAAATTTCTGTCATTTTCTTCTTTGTTCTTTATTTGTGCCATCTTGGTTTCGTATGCTTTTGTGAAACAATTGGTGGAATGAATTTTCTGTGTTATATTTTATTTGCATGGTTTTAGCACATGTCACATCAGAAAGACATCTGGCCGTTTCATTTTAGCCATTGCAGGGTAATAATCACTTTCTTTTTGTATTAAGAGTTTTAAAAATTTTATCTTACTCTCATCTTGCTTCCACCCCCCTTCAAAAGAAGAACAAGAAAAAAAAGTGAAATAGGCTTTCAACCTACCTTATACATAACTGGGAAGTTTTGTCATGGAAAGATATGTTTGGTGTTGTTAGTTTGACTTACAACGCTTTTTTGCTTTTGATCCATAGGTTAGGCTTGTTTCCCGTGACTTCTCCTCTAAGTAACGACTTCCTAAGAATGGATTTTATCCAAAGTCTTTCAAGAAAAAGCTTTCTAAATAAAATTTGTGTTTGGCAATGCACATTTTGCCAAACTAGTTTCTATTTTTTCAAAAATAAATAAATGAATAATTAAAAAAATAAATTTTGAAAATGAAACCAAACATGATGTAATTCTAAAAAACAATTGTATTGCTTAGAAGATTGGGGCCCTTCGTAGAGTGCGCACATTGGTTATCTACATGACATCATCCACAAGAAGTGTATCACACCCATTTGCTTGGTCAAACATATCAAACAGTTTCTATGTCACGACCCAAACCCGCCTTCGTAGAGTGCGCACATTGGTTATCTACATGACATCATCCACAAGAAGTGTATCACACCCATTTGCTTGGTCAAACATATCAAACAGTTTCTATGTCACGACCCAAACCCGCCCCTAAAAGTTTGGTCCATGACCGGCCTGTACATAGGCCTCAAAACAAAATTTCACGAATATTTATTCGAATACGGGGCATTAAGTGGAAGCAAATAACAACATAAAGACAACACCTATTGAGCTTGTGCATACATGAAGACTTAGATTAATTTAAACATTTAAATATACTTCCATATTTACACACATAATCACAGAACTTATATAGATCTCGCACACAAATACATAAGACTCAATAAAAGACATAACTCTCCAATACAAAATTAAAGCCTCGACGCTGAGGCGTAACCCGGGCGGCTTGACAGAGAGGTGGATCTCAATACAACTCTAGTGTTAGTCCCTGATGGCTCACCTACATAAATATACATAAAAACGGAGTGAGCAAGGCTTAGTGAATAATAGCAATGTAAGGAGGTTAGGTGATTACGCATGGCCTTGGAGAACATAAATCTACATAAAGTAAATCATATACAGGTCTTATCCATAACCATATGTCAAAATGGCCTAAGGCCCACATGTAATACAGAACGGCCTTGGGCCCATGTATGATACGAAACGGCCCTAGGCCCAACATTACAACAGCTGTCCAGAGCAATATAGGGAAGATAGAACATCGGCATGTCTCCATTTCCCTTGGCGTAAGAGCCATTAGTCATATACAGTTCATATCATTATAGGGTAGACGGAACATCGACAGATCTCCATCTCCCCCGGCCTTAGGGCCATGAGTCATAAACAATTCACATCATAACGGCCTCGGGCCCATTTTTATTAATAGGAACAAAACGACCTTAGGTCCATATCAATGCCATCATTTAATTATGTCCATTAATTCAATCAAAGCACAATGTCAATAGTATATGCCATTCACAAACAACAATATATAAATTATAATCACGGGAAGTAAGTAAAACATATCGTTACGCTACTATTACTCACAGTGATGGGCTTCTAGTAGCGATGGGACGATGTCCTTGTCTTGACCTACAAACACATTGCACATAGCATAATATAAGAATATAACCAATCCCTTACTTGTTCTTTAATCAATTAGTTAGGTTGGTTCTAAACTCATCAGTCCTCAACAGATCATAATCCGTGTCTAGGAAAATAGGAGGAATCGAAAGGAAAATGGTTTAGAAGAAGAAATGGTATAAAATCGGTAGACAGAAAGTGAATAATCTTCACTAATTTGAGCATATCTATTTGTGTACTTAGAATTTGGGAGTAAGACCACCACCATTGGAAACTAGACTTCCGGGGCTTGAATTTAGGCTCAAGAATCACTTAAAACGGAGTCCGGATGCAAGAGATATGCTTATTTGAAGTTGGTTGAAATAGAGCTGTCCTGCACCTGCGGGAAACAAGGCCGCATGTGCGCTAATTGGGCCGCATGTGCGCGAATTGAGCCGCACGTGTGGGACAAGGTGCTTTTATTTCAGATTCATTTTTGGTGCTGGAAGGGGACTGCCGCACGTGCGGGAAGCCCCGCCGCACGTGCGGCTCTGGGCAAATTCCACTGTTCGAAAATGTTTGTTTGCTCTAACCTTTGTTTTTCTATTTTCTAAGCTTGGTTCCAACTTTAATCACCAAAAAACATGTAAAATTACCCCACAACATGATAGACTAACATCATTCAAGTGTAATTTCATTCCAAACAAATCAATCTTTGCCTCAAGTTAAAGGTCAATGTTTCATCTTTCATACTCCTTAAAGTTCTCAAAACAAAACCCACAAACACACTTGATTCTTGCATAATCTTGTTTTATGGACAATCGAGAGTTCATTTTATATGGCATTCATAAGGTTGAGCTCCAATCATAAACAAAATCATAGGATTCAAGTTCTAATTTCTTAAATTGAGCTCAATTAAATACATACATAAGACCCTAACTCAAATGGGTTTAAAATTTTCCAATATCATTAGGATTGCATGAAATTGATGCATTAAACATAAGGATTCAAGATAAACTTCCATACCTTAGTTCAATCTTTGCCTCTCTCTTAGCTCTCTTCAATTTCCCAAGCTTCCATGGTTGATCTTCTTCCCCTCTCTTCAATCTCTTCAATTTATCTTCAAACCCCCATGAATGTTGAGCTCTCTCTCTTAGAGAAGCTTTGTCTCTCCCCTCTCTCTCTCTCACGGTTCTCTCCCTCTCCCTTAGATATTTTTGGACTCCAATTGATGAGTTCAACAACTCATATCATATATATATATA